CCCGGCGCTCCGGGAGGCGCTGCCCTGCACCCCACACACACCGAAAGGCGCCCGCCGCGAGGCCACAGGTGCAGGAAAGCAGGACTCAGTGGAACTCCCAGGTTCCGCCCGGGACAGGGCTCAGCGCCACATGCCACTCTTCCCGAAAGCACTTACAGGGGACAAGCCTCCGGGGCAAGCGGCTGCCTCCAGTTCTTGTTGCAGGTGAAGTCCCTCCTGGGACACTGACCCCAGAGGTCATCGCTGCTCTCAGGCCACCCTTCCCCGAGTCCTGGCCGGGCCCCTTCAACCTGCCAAAGCAAAGCAGCGTTACTCCCAGCGTCCTCCACGGGGCTCACAGCTGCCCCTCCCGGCCTCCCCGGAAAGGGCCACAGCCCCTAGGAAGGTCTCAGGCTAGTCACGGGGCTGTGACCTCAGGCTCCGTCACAGGCCAGCGTGCCCAGGGCGGGTCTGCGCCTTGGGGGCGCAGCCAGAGCCAGCTACCCGCATGGGATGGAGCTACATGGGTCAATGTGGGCTCTAGAAAAAAACTAATGGCGGCAACATACATCAGAGAAAGCTAGTTAAGAGTGTGACTTAAGAGGTCTGGAAAAGACAGTCAATTGATAAGCAAAAAATCCAAAAGGCGGGGGCATTCACTGGTCTCCAATCCTGCTTAAGGGACCTCATCTAAGAGCCAGGCATGACTGGGCCCAGCCTGCACCTGGCTGCACGTGGGGAGCGTAATGGCCAGGCCTGACTTTAGTTCCAGCTTAATTGAAGAAGAAAAAAAAAGTTGAAAAAAAAGGAAAAACAAAAAACAGTCACAGGAACATTCCCCGGGCACATGACTTTTAATGAGCTCTCGACAAGAGGGATGTGGGCACGAGCGGAAGGAGTTACCTCGAATTACAGGGCTATTTCCACATATGAGCTAGCCAAGGGAGCAGCTTGCGTCTCAGAGGGTTCTGTTGGGCGCACAACACTTCTGTCCTCCGAGGGCTGCAGCTTCCATAGGCTAGCAGAGAACGCTCAGAACTCGTGAAGCAACAGCAGAACTAGCTAACCGGCTGGCCGTCTGAGGTCGCCCTGGGATGCCACGTGCCTCCGCTCTCTGGCCTGCTTCTAGACTGAGGCAGTCCAGGTCAGCGTCGGGTGCACGTCCACTGTCCCTGCTAAGCTGCCCGCACAGTCCAGCCCTCTGGCCACCACTGCCAGAAGCCTCCCGGGGCTGCCCTGAGGCCTGAGCTGCCCGCTCCCGTCCCCCGCCTGGCTCCCCTACCCTGACCAGCGCCAATCTGCTGGGCCTCCCTTTCTAGCTCTCTCTGCAGGCCCCAGGGAAGGCTTGCAGACCTGCTGCTTCTCCGCCTCCTCTCTGCTCAGGTCTGGCTGCAGGAGCCTGCAGCAGGGAGTGTGTGGTGCAATGCAAGGGAATTGTCAGAGCAAGGTTCATTTCACACGGTCTTTTAATCGGCTTCGTAAAGCCAAAGAAAACTGCATACAAGAATTCCTCAGCCACTGCAAATACAACATCGATGGAGTATGCGTACGTCTTCCAGTAAAAAAGGACAATATAAATAAACATCTTCAAGAACCTCTCAGGGACGTCTGCACGTCTACTGTGGGGCGCACAGCACAGATGGGCGCAGGGGCCAGGGCTCCAGGGCAGTTGCTGCCACACCCGCCGGGGTCCTACCACACTACACTCAGAAACGTCACATGGAGTTGGAAAAAGCCACAGCTTGCTCAGCTTCCGACAAAGAGCGGATTCACAGTCCGTTCGATCTCAGAGGAGTGAGTGGGGCACCCACTTCATGGGGCCAACCCCACCAAAAGAAAAAAAAGCAACACAACCAAAAACTAAAACAAAAACCAAAAACCCACACAACCCCCGATTTTTTTGAAAACTCATGGCTCGTGGTCAAAAAAGTAAATCTGAAGTGCTTTTCAAAATGTTTTGAAAACCCTTAAAAACAGCACTTCCTTAAAAAGAAAAGTCTAGTAACGAGGCCATCCTGGCGTCAGAAGCGGTCAGGCTGGGTTTGACAAGATCAGAACCGAAATGACTACGAAAGTGGGAATACAAGGAGGTGCGTTTACTACACGTATTAACGTTCAGCGAAGCTCCCACAATCTTTAAACACACAGCCATTGGAAGGACGATCTTGAGCAGGAAGGGTTTTTACTCGTTGTGTGTAGCTGAGGACAAGAAGCAGGCACAGTGTAAAGGCACCGAAGCAACGAGAGGCAGCTTCACCCCAGAGGCCAGACCAGGGCGCGGCCTGCGACCGGGGAGCAACCACCCCCCACAGCCGAGGGAGGCTGGCCTGCAGCCACACATGCACCTATGCTGACTGCCCAGCGGGCCCTCGCTCTCCCTTGCCTTTTTGGTCAGTCTCATTTGGCTTTTGTGTCCTGTGATAGAAATGGCTCTGAGAGGACAGACGCGCCTCTTATAGGCAAGCGCAGTGACAAGATCTGAGTGTCCAGCCTGAAGTGCTTGGAGAAGGTGCCAAGGTGAACCGAGCTCCCACCGCAGGCCACAGCAGCGTGGCACCCTCGGAGCGTGACTTACCGTAACTGTCGTAACTGTCTCTATAGGACCCGCCCGAGCTCCGGTCACTGTAGCCACCACTCTGACTCCGGCTGCAGAATAGACAGACGTGAGTACCGGAGGATACCAGTCTACTTTTGCTCTGCCACAGCAGGCTGAGCCGTCAGCCCCCATGCCAGCTGTCCCTTCTGGGGACGCAAGGACCCTAGCAGGGTAGAGTCTCAGAAATCGTCCAAAACCTGCACCAGCCATGCCCCCCCGGCCTTCCCGCTTCTGCCACTGTCTTCAGCAGTTTCCTCTCCTCTTGGCCTGGGCCCCCTCCCGCCTCTGCTCCTTGCCCAGGCAGCCTCATCTCAGCTCCCCCAGGGACCTGGGACTGAAGCTGGCCATCCCACAATCACCCCTGTGCCCGGGTTGGCCTTCACCCCTCACCTGCTATAGTAGTCTCTGGAGCCACCGTAGCCCCCACTCCTGGACTCGAACCGGTTCCCCCCATAGCCTCGGTCCCCTCCTCCTGCATACAGGAAGAAGTGAGTACCAGCTCCCACCAGCAGTGCCTCACAGCATCCCCAAAGGGCCCACTCACGGCACTCACCTCTAGAGAACCCACGGCCCCGTCCTCGGCCCCCACGGAAGAAGCCCCGGCCCCCGGTAGAGCCACCACGGTACCCACGGGATCGGTTGTCTGACGACTTGCCTGCCTGGTCTACTCGGATCTGTCGCCCATCTACAGACTGGAGACCAGCGGGTGGCACAGGTTAGTGGGTGGGTGCCCCATCCTCAGGACGGGGCTCCCGCTCAGCACCCTGATCCTCACCTTCCCGTTCATGGCCATCATGGCATCCTTGGCGTCGTCAATGTTCTCAAAGGTGACAAACCCAAATCCCCGAGATCTCTGGGTCTCCCTGTCTTTCACAACCACCACTGTGCAGGGGAGAGAGGTCTGCAGTCAGCACCCAGCTGTACCTACAGTCAGGAGGAGCACAAGCCAGCCCCACCCGGGCCGCCGGCCCAGCACCAGCCTCACCTTCAGAGATCTGTCCGTATTTTGAAAAGACCTGCTCCAGCGACTGCTCATTGGTGTCAAAACTCAGCCCTCCAACAAAAAGCTTGCCTTCGTCTGATGCCATGGCGGCCTGTGGCAGACACCAATGAAATCCTCAACAGGGGTCATCTCTCACCACCTCTCCCCGCTTCCTATTTTATGTAAATGACATGTGTTTTTTAGGGAAAATATTAGAAAATCAGATTATTGTTTTTCATTGTCGGAAACTCGTACCTAGGACTTAAGCTGTCACCCAGGCTGGAGTGCAGTGGTGCAATCATGGGTCACTGCAGCCTCCACCTCCTAGTCTAAGCAATTCTCCTACCTCAGTCTCCCAAGAAACTGGGACTATAGATGTGCACCACCACGCCTGGCTGATTTTTTCTTTTTAATTTGTTTTAGTAGAGATGGGGTCTCGCTCTGTTGCCCAGGCTGGTCTGAAACTCCTGAGCTCGGCTGGGTGCAGTGGCTCACACCTGTAATCCCAGCACTTTGGGAGGCCGAGACGGGCCGATCACCTGAGGTCGGGAGTTCGAGACCAGCCTGACCAACATGAAAAACCCCATCTCCACTAAAAATACAAAGTAAGCCAGACACGGTGGTGCATGCCTGTAATCCCAGCTACTTGGGAGGCTGAGGCAGGAGAATCACTTGAATCCGGGAGGCGGAGGTTGCGGTAAGCCGGGATCACGCCATTGCACTCCAGCCTGAGCAACAAGACTGGATGGAACTCTTGTCTCAAAAAAAAAAAAAAAAAAAACTTACTCCTGGGCTCAAGCAATCCTCCCACCTTGGCCACCCAAAGTTTTGGGATTACAGGTGTAACCCACCGCACTCAGCTACCTAAGACTTAATTCAAACTGATTTACCACACCGAATACAGTCCGCTTCTCAGCTCCCTCCACCCCCCAGACTAAAGGCAGGCCGCACCCATGTCCACAGTCCTCCCCATGGGACAGGACCTCCGGTGTCTTCCCCCCCGCCCCCCCCGCCCCGAATCTTCCAGTCGTGCCGTGGGCAGGACTGCACCCTCAGCTTCTCTCCTTTACAAACTGGTGCCAACTCCAACCCTAACCAGCTGACTTCTGCTTGTTGCTGGACCAGAACGTGCTTCTGTTCACTGTAAAATTCCCCGAGACTGGGGGGGCTAGCTGTCAGGGACGCCGTCCCGTGCTGGGGGGCACCTCGGGGCAGGCACTAACTTTTACAGACAGAACCTCTGCCGGAAATCGGGAAGGGATGGCCCCGGAAATGAGGCAGGATTTCCAGACAGGAGAACTGGCATTCAGGAGAACTGGCTATTTAAAGGGGCACTCAGTGCTGACACAGACAAAGCATTCATTGGCTGGGAATGGCCACCACCCAGTGGCGCTGATAACTAGACTTGGAAGTCTGGCACTGGGGACTGTGCCAACTTGGACCAAAGTTTGGGCGCAAAGCACGACGTGGCAGACGAGGAATCACACTGGACCGGGTCATGCCTACCCAGGATTTGCGAGGCCGTCCTTTCCCTCATGCAATCACAATGGGAAAAGGAGAAAAATGAGGCTCAGAAAACAAAAGCGTTGGTTTATGGATACCTCCAGCCCCATGGCAGGGAAACGGGCCCTGTAGACCGGGCGCGCCACGTGGCCCCGCCC